AATAAAATAAAATAAAATAAAATAAAATAAAATAAAATAAAATAAAATAAAATAAAATAAAAAAAAAAACCTTTTCGGGGTGGAAATCCCAGGTCCCGATGAAGTCTCCGCAAGAAATGACACCGATTTCCTATTCTTACGGAAAGTAAAAGAATATCGAACCCCACCCCCAAGATCCCAACTTTTGCCAGGCAATCTTGTCTACTTCTAGTATCCAGGAGGATGACTATATGTTTTTCTTTGGGCTCACCTTCTTATTTAGCTTCTCTAGGATCGCGAACTATAGGCTCAATGACCTTTGTTTATGGCTAGAGTCCACTTATGAGTGAGAACATCCCATGTTCCTCTTTTGGGGTCTGGGTTACCTCGCTGAGGATAGTGTTTTCTATTTCCATCCATTTGCATGCAAAATTCAAGATGTCCTTGTTTTTTACAGCTGAGTAGAACTCTAAAGTGTAGATGTGCCACGGCTTCTTTATCCATTTTTCTATTGAGGTTCACCTAGGTTGTTTCCAGGTTCTGGCTATTACAAATAATGCTGCTATGAACACAGTTGAACAAATGCTTTTGTCATATGATCGGGCGTTTCTTGGCTAAAAGACACTTAAGTTTATGCTCAACCTCCTTAGCGATCAGGGAAATGCAAATCAAAACAACTTTGAGATATCATCTTACACCTGTCAGAATGGCTAAAATCAAAATCACCTATGATATCCTTTGCTGGAGAGGTTGTGGAGTAAGGGGTACTCTCATCCATTGCTGGTGGGAATGCAAACTTGTGCAACCACTTTGGAAAGCAGTGTGGCGGTTTCTCAGGAAATTCGGGATCAACCTACCCCTGGACCCAGCAATACCACTCTTGGGAATATACCCAAGAGATGACAAAAAGATTTTGCATGAGCATAAAAGCAAAGCAAGGTAGGCTATTAGCACCGTAGCAAACTTTAATTTTCTCAAAAGTAATGTTGGCATCAATATTTGGAATTCCTGAATTTGCTAATACTGCTGGAGAATACATGATGTCACAGAGATGTCAGTTAATATATTCCTTTAGAAGTTACCGTTCACATCACTTACCCTCCCTCCTCCTCTATGTGTGTGGGTGTGTGTTTAGTTTTTTTATTGATGAAGTCATATGTCTTTGCTGGTGGACACTCTAATTGGATTGATCAGTTTTTATCTCAGCCTTTTGGATCTCTCTAATAGTATTTCCACATACTGCAAAGGCTAGAAAATGATTACATTTTTTCCCCTATGCACCTTGGCAATTTAAATTACAGTTGTGAATTTTAGGTTCTTCTCATGTGCATTCAGCAAGTTGAGCAAAGTCAATTGCTCCAGTGGACAAAGGTCAATGTTTTGGTTTGGAGACACCAAGTGGCCCCCGAATTCTGGTAAGAAAAGGGAATTTGTCCACTCTCTTCCCGAATATTTTTATCAGGCCCCGAATTCTGGTAAAAAGAGTGAGCATCTAATCAGGAGAGCCCAACAAGGCAAGGGTACGTTTCTGTGTAGCACAGGAAACGGGCGTCTCTTAATGACCCATGGAGTTGTAGGTAGACCGGAAAGTCTTTTGGTGAGTGACAGATATTCTTGCTGTGGGGATTCATAAGGATAAGATACTGTAGGAATAATCTTGTTGGTATTTGAAACCAAAAAGCCGTTGGGCTTTTGTTACATACATTTCTGCATTTCTGTATTTATTTCTGTATTTCTGTATTTCTGTATTTCTGTATTTATTTATTTATTTATTTATTTATTTATTTATTTATTTATTCATCAGGTGTGGGGAGGGTGGTATGTGCATGCGTATTTCTGTATTTCTGCCACGTGGGTTCCAGGAATCCAACTCGGGGTCACGAGCCTTGGTAGCAAGAGCGTTCAGCCCGCTGAGCCGTCTCCCCAGCCCCCTGTGAGCGTCGCATCCAGGTCTCTTGCTGCAAACAGATTTCCCTTTGTGAAAAAAGCCGTGTCAAGAGGGGATGCATGTGGCGTATTTAATGAAGGAACCGCAATATTGTATTGACTGTGTCTGGATTCTTCTCATCGACTTATAAAAACCTTAAGAAAATGGGGGATGGTCTATAGTAGTTATCAAAGGACTTATCCTAAAGAAAAGGTTGACATTATGGGGAAATACACACACGTATATATTGATGATGAAGAAAGAATAGATCCATGTGAAGTTTCTGGAGGGTAGCCTGGCTGTATATATCAAGATTGAAAATGGGTTCTTTTGAACAAGAAATTCCTTAAGTTCAATGTATACACATTTATCTTAAGAAAAGAATCAGAGACTGCAAGAAGATGCATGTCCAAGGGTGTTCGCTGAAGAACTTTTATGAAACCTGAAAGGCGCAAATGGCCAAAGCATTTGTTGATGAAAACTCATGTGATAAAATATGATTGAGGTTTTCCATGCTACATATCTGGTGCTTATTGACATGTACCTGTTCTACATATCTGGTGCTTATTGACATGTCTGTGCTACATATCTGGTGCTGGGCTTTATTAAACAAAAGGAAGAGCGGCTAGGTAGCTAGAGGAGGGCACCCTGGGTGCATGTGAGGGTAGCCAGAACCAACCACGGGAATTGACTTGGATTCTTCTCCGTCCCCCATCTGCCCCCTGCAGAGAACGATATTTATTCACCTGGACAGCAGAGAGTGTTGCTAACTGGAGCAGAAAAGCAATTTCCATGTGGATGTGGCGAGAGAAGACCAGGGACTCTCATATAGACAAGACACCGTCACCCCTGCCTCTAATTTTAAAGACGGAGACGGCAGTCCGGGAGCAGTTCCAAGGGTTCTGGCAGGTACTGCAGATGCCATGGAAATTGAGAATATTCAGTCAGATTTTAGAATATTCTCCTCAAACTCAGGCTTTCGCGGATCACACAATCTGGAGTTCTTTCCAATCTCTTCCTGTGGGCTATGCAGAAATTAGCCTCGACTTGAGAATAATTCATTTCGTTGGGTGGTAGAGCGAACCCAGGAAGGCTTGTGAAGCGGAGAAGCCGGAAATGAAGGGAAAGAAGGAAGAGAGGAAAGAAAGAAAACACAAAGAATTATCAAATTGACCGCAGCTAGAGCCTCGATTTCACTTTCATATCTCAGGTTATTGCAAATGTGAGGAAATGCTACTGGCTCTGCCCTCTCCTCTTGTTCCGTCATTTAACTCAATAATGCTGCAAGTGGGTACTCGTTACAGCCCTCGTTCTGAAAAGATCTGAAAACACGGTGACTTTGAGCCAGTTAGGGGGGTAGAAGAACGGAATCAGAATTTACTTTTGTTGCTGGTGACAGGGGTTTCCTTACCCTACGTTACATGGTTTATTCAGGGAAGGAGTAATTAACGGAGAAACATTCAGGCCTTGTTAGGGAAGAAGACATAAAGATATAAATATAAAAGATATAAGAGAATGGAGTATGAGATTTTGGAAAGGTATTCAATATTGGTGACCACAGCAGGTTGAATGCAAACGGTCAAAACCTATGAACTCATTTTATTCTATTTTTGCAAGCAGAGATTTTTCACTGTAGGTCACACAACATTTTATGACGAAACAACTAGCACCTGGCCTTTAGACAGGTTTCTACACTAACCTACCTGGGAAATAAACCCCATGGACCAGTGACGATCCCAAAGATCTAAGTTTGGTTCTTCACGCCATTATCACACTGAAAAGAAAAGATCAAGCTGACAGTGCGTAGCGACTTCTTCACCCCTTGGTCCCAATAATATTTTTCCCTTCAAAATATTATACTCCAACATTCTTCCTGTAAAATCCTGGCTCGTCAAACTTCTCCTCACCACCTAACAAGACCCCTTTGCTGGGGACAAAACTGCTCTGCGTGATTTGGAAACGGCTATCCTTTTCCGTACACAGGCCGGCACGCAAGCCCAACCAGCCAATCAGAATATATCATCCCCTCAGCCAAAAAAAAAACAAAAAAAAAAAACAAAACAAAAAAACACTGTCACTTCTTTCAGAGGCTCTGATTGCAGTGCATGACCCAAGCCTGGCAATCGCACTCTCTTCCTGAAATTGTGAACCCTGGGTTTAAACATCTGTCAAAAGAGGAACAGCTGAATGTTCACGGAGCCAGTCCTAGTAAAATATGCTGCATCCAGTCCCTGTATTTGTTCCTGGATCTGTTATGATTGCAAATAGGTCCAAGTTCAGACTGTCTTGAATACTCAGCACTCGGGCCTTCCAGAAGGCGTCTAATAAGGACTCTTTTTTTTTTATATTTATTTTATTTATTTATTATGTATACAACATTCTGTCTGTGTGTATGCCTGCAGGCCAGAAGAGGACACCAGACCTCATTACGGATGGTTGTGAGCCACCATGTGGTTGCTGGGAATTGAACTCAGGACCTTTGGAAGAGCAGGCAGTGCTCTAACCACTGAGCCATCTCTCCAGCCCTAATAAGGACTCTTGTGGACTGACGCAAACTTGCGTGTGAAAACCCTAGTCGCTGATCTGACTGTAGCTAGAAATAGGCCATTTGGAGGACCGTTACTACTCAGTCGGTCAGCACTGTGAGGGTGTAACCTGTTAAAACTCGTGGCTTTATAAGAAGGTGGGTAGAGAGCTCACATGCCCAGCCAAGGAACGCCAGGCAAGGCAACAAGGAGCCAGCCATCGGGGACCCAGGCAGAGAGCTTGCACTAGAACTCCCTTACAGCGTCTGGACCTCAGAACTCACCAAGGCAAAGAGAACGGAAGAACACAGGGAAGAAAATTGCTTCCAAGAAGAAAGATGGAAAAATCAGAAACCACTGGCCACTTCCAAACATCTCTGGGTTAATTAATATTCTTTGCCGGGCAAAGGTAATGACGATCCTTATTGTAATAGGCCATCTGCTCAAATTAAATAGGAATTTTGAACTCGGAAGCGACAGACACGTTAACTAGGCTTCACAACCAGCCTGTTGTTTTTTTATTGTTCAAATTCAGAGGACAAACAGAAGTTGTTAGACTAAGAATGAAGGGTTACCTCATGCACCCTGAGACAGACTGTGAGGAATACTGCGTTCTCAAGGCTGGAGTCCAGATTCAATTGCTGCAACTCAACAACTTTTGATTAGAATCACCTCTGTGCTGTCTGGAAAAACCTGTGCAAGTACTTTTGGGGGAGTCAGCTAGAGAAGCAACTTAAGTTGCTACAAAATTCATGGGTTTCTGTGAGCTAGAGTGATTTATTGACAAAGAATTCAGAATGATGAGCAGTGAAGAGAAATTTGCATATTTATTTACTGTCCAATCAATACTCGTGAAGATTCTTCACAGTGTCCTGGCGCCGTCTCTTCCTGTTCGGGTCCAAGAACCATCTCTTGGTGTTCTTCCTTGCCAAAGCCTCATTCTTGGATAATTTCTTTATCCCTCATTGCAAGAGAAAGACAGCATGCCGTGCTGCGGCTGCTCCCAGCGTCCTGGCCGCTTGGAATCTAGTTTTGTATCTCTACAGATCCTGCATTTATCAGAGCTGATTCCTCTACCCGCGATGCTGCGCCATCCAGATCACCACCCATGAGCACTGACCTTCAATGTCTGCTTCGAAGGCCATGAATAAAGTTCCGTTGATGGTCGCAGATTAAAATCTCACTGAGTATATGTGAGAACATGCAAACGGCAACTCATTTTGTGACCACGTCACACGTCTGTCACTGTTCGGAGTGTCGTCGCTGAAACATAAAACCCCTCACCACTCCCCCTCGTCTCTCCCCTTGGTGTCTTTGCATTTCCACCGCGGGACTCCTTCGGGTGCTGATTCTGTCTCGGAGAGATCTTCCGGGCATGACATGGCCTTTGACCTTTTGAACTCTTGGCAGCTGTAATTGCTCCCACAACACCCTGACCTACTAATGTTGCTGTGAGGAAAGGAAACTCTGACTTCAGTGGCAGAGCCATTCATAAATTCTCTGTGCTTCTGTACGCAACCCTTCATCCACACTTCTATAAGTAATTCCATAATTAAGCACATAGGTTGACTAAGTTAGACATAGGCGGAATGATTTCTTTGGCCTATTAGTGCCCTGTCTGGTGTGAGTAAGCATTTATTTGTCTATCTAGGCCAAGCTCTCACAAATTCACCTTTGCTTTCCACACGTCCCCTACGAACGCGAAGGCAGGCTAGGAGCCCACGGGAAGCCACGGGAGAGTGTCTAATTCGGGAAAGGAACAAAACCCTCCCTTTCCCTGCACGGGTCGCGAGCAACCGAGGAAAAACACGCGGTCACACCAGCTGGAGGCGAGAGATGACCACCCAAGACATAGGATGGAGACATAGAAAATGCTACGGAAGACACTTTCAGTGGCCGGAGCACATAGGAAAGGCAAGGCCTTCTGTGAGACAGTGCTGTGGGACAATTCAGGCATCAAGGGGATACTGAGAAAACTTCTAGGAAGGAAGTCCACAGTACAGGAGGCATCAAGGGGATACTGAGAAAACTTCTGGAAAGGAAGTCCACAGTACAGGAACCCCTGGCACAAAAAGCTCATAACGAGAGTGTCATTTAAAGCTCATAATGAGAGTGTCATTTCACGAGTTCCTGGTCCACACTAGTCCTGGTCACCAGCCAGTCCTCTTGCGGCAAATTCCAATAACGAGCCGCTTGTAACGGTCTGGCAGGCCTTGTGCTGCTGACTAAACGCATCCTTGGAACAGATTTATTTCCCGTACCCACCTTGGAGAAGTCCAGGCAAAACAGAAGCCGGAAGAATTTCTTCCAAGACATCGTTTCCTCCCTCTCTTCCTTGAAGGGGGGGGTCCTACTGTGGGTTTGTTTTCCTTCCCCACTGAATAAGGCTGGTCGAGTTCATCATTTATGTGTGAGGTTTTCCTCAATACTAAATGCAAATTTAGCACCTCCTTCCCGCTGCATGGCAGGCACAAAACGGCTGTCGTGCGATCCGGAGCGTGAGTCCCTAGCGAGTCACAGACATTTCGCACGTAGGGAACGGATGTTCTGATAAATGCACTTCAAGAACGTTTCATTTTCTTTGTTTGGAAGCGTGATTGTGAGAAAGCACCCACAGGCAGCTCTAGGAGGCCGGAGTGTCCCCAGGACACAGAGCTGAAGACACCTGGGTGGAGATGGAGCCTGGCCTGGAGGAAGACACTGTCAGCCTGGCCCAGGGGGCAGGAAACACGGAGTCTGGCCTCGTATCTGAAAAATACTGGTTCCTTTTGTCTCCTCTCTACTTCCTTCCTTCCTTCCTTCCTTCCTTCCTTCCTTCCTTCCTTCCTTCCTTCCTTCCTGTTCTCCTTCCTCCTTCCTTCCTTCCTCCTTCCTTCCTTCCTCCTTCCTTCCTTCCTTCCTCCTTCCTTCCTTCCTGTTCTCCTTCCTCCTTCCTTCCTCCCTCCTTCCTTCCTTCCTCCTTCCTTCCTTCCT